AATTGATCAAGCAGTGTGAGGGAAACAATTAATAGTTTCAATACTTATGACTTATTGAGTATTAAGAAGTGAAAATAAAATATTTTTGACACATCTTGCACGATTAACAACTATAAATATATATGTGAACTATGAACTAGATTTAAAAAGTAAATAATTTACAATAATCATTTTTATCGTGGTTATTTAAATATAAATGCGATAATACGTATTGTAAACATTTCATATTTATTTTAAAAAATATAATTTTTATAAATCAGAATTAATCAGAATGGAGGCCTACATGGAAGAGGCCTCACGGACGGCCCAGAAAAAGATGGTTGAATGCATTTGGAAGAATATCTCAAGAAAATAGAAATACGACAGTGGAGAACAATAATTCATAACAGGGAAGAATGGAAGCAGATCGTGATGGCGACGAAAATTCTTCAGGAGTAATAAATACCATCAGAAGAAGAATAAATCAGAATTAAAGTAATAATTATATTTCCCATTTATTTCAGTGATAGTTTTACTGTACTCAATAGTGTAAAACCAATTATCATAATAATAATTATGTCTCCATGTTTTATATTATTTCCTAGAGTAGACTAACGTTTGGGTTAAACAATAAAATATGTAATGAGTTTGGACCAATAGACATATTGTACTTACGAGTACGTGAATAATTTAAAAATACTAAAATATTATAATAATGTTAGGGCTTACATTTTTATATAGGCTAAATTATGAGTGAAATTGTACAGAATTAATTTTCCCTCTCATTTAAACAGCCCATTCGTAAATATCACAGCCGATTTGAAAATGATAGAATGCATTTATTATAAAAACTATAATTTATATTCATCAAAAATTCTTCATCACAAATTGAAAACAAAAATCCATGTTTTGTGACTAACAATTGCAGTATATTTTATATACATATATATTGTAATAATAATATTTTACTTAATATGTCTTTCATTTTTTTTTTTTTTTTTTTGAAGCATATTCTTGTTTTCTTTACCCATAGTTACTTTTTGGTTACAATCAAAATAAAAATATTGAGATCATTGTGTTTTTTTTAAGTTTTGAAATTAAGTCTGACATTGTAATATAATATAAATTATTTGATGAACATTCAGGAGTAAAAAATCACCGATGTGTTTGAATTATTGGTATAAGATCTTTCCATATTTTTAGTAGCTATCTAATGAGCGTCATTAATATCGTATTTCATAATTACAATAATTCGGTTTTTACAAATCTAGTAAATACTTCATTAGATTTTTAATAACGAACTAAAATATAATTTATATAATTTTGTAGGACATAGAGTTAATATATTTTATCATAAAATAAAATAATATTTAAATTTTGATGCATTGCATAAAACTGATTTAAAAACATATTTTTTTTTATATTAATTAAAAATGAATCTTCCAAAATTATAATAATGATTTCCGTAATATCTTTTGATTAATATTTTATAATAAGTGCAAACATTACAGAATATTATAATGTTCTAAGTGTTATTGGTATTTTATATATTAAGATAAATTTCGTACGATTAAAATGTAGATTTTATTTTAACTTATACATGTGTACGGGTGCTTTGATTTTATTCATAAATACTTAACTTAAATTGGTAGTGCTTAAGTCATGTGCTTCTCTAATTTCATACACTATGTACAAATTTACGATTATAATTTACATTCAAGTAGTTTATTGTGGTCTTACTGTACAATATAAGCAATATACACTTATAAATAATTTATCACTTTGAATTTAATTTTAAAATAAATAATGAAACTAATTAGCAAGCCGTTTTAACTTAATTGAAATACAAATTTATACTCATATTGAGCACTTAAACAATTTTTGCAATTCATATTATTATTAGTGTATATTTTGCGTAAAATTAAATTAAAATATTTATTGATGGAGAACTGAGCGAATATTTTGTTTATTAATTTTTTGGATACTTAATGAATCTCAAGATGTCTTACAGCTAAAAATATTAATTTCATTTTATTTAGAAACATTTATCTTTAAAAATTATTACCGCCACGTTTGATGCCACTGACCTTAACTGAAATATGCAACTTAATATAAAAATATTTGACCGGAAGGCTTGTTGTTGGAATATTATTTAAATTGTAACCGTGGTATACACACATAAAAGGGGTTATGTTACTGTTATATTACTAAATTTGCTTTGTTTCTATAATATTGAATGAGAATAATAAGTTTGACAATGATTTATCGTAAACGAAATGAAAGAATTATTAATACTATCATTTAAGGTAAATTAATAAAATTGAAATGACAACGGAAAAAGTGTAAATTATATCATATTCAAGTACTTATCAGTCTTGATTTTCTAATAGATTATTTTTTCCAATATAAAGAAATAAAAATCTTAAAATGTCTATATCAATGAAATTGTAAATTTTAATTATTTTTAATTTATTATTAATTTCAACTTGAACATCTAATAACTATACATTATTTTATGAAGTTTATATTAATTATAAAACCTGGTTAATTCATATTTTTATCATGATTTTAATATTTTAAAAATTAAATACCACATGATTGTTTTCACAAACAATGAATTTATCTGTGATCTAGTTTTGGACTTATGAATCTACTCCGAAAGTCTCATTATTTCATTAAATACAAATTATTTTTGATAATAAATTTGTTTTGAATTAGAAACCAAGAATATTAAATACGTCATTGACTTTTATAGTACAATTACCATATTATGTGTTAAGCTGTTGACAATGAAGTAGGGTAAAAATTACTAAATTAGATTCGAATAACTACTTACTATAGGTGTCTTTGGAAATCTATAGTTAATTTACAAGAGAAGAGAGAAAATATTTATCGAAAAAGGGTGAGGATGAAAACGTATATGCATTTATTCAGCAGGAGGGTATAGAAACATCGGAGGTATAGCATTAAGAATAATCAAATTTAAAAATATTGATTTTTTTCTGCATCCGGGGATAATAGCTGTTTAGCTTTTTTGTAGACTTCATGACCTTTGTCTGGTTTTTGTCAAACATTTCGCTGTTTATTACTATACTAATATACATAGTATATATTTGTTTCTATGCATAAACATAGACATATATACGAGTAAATATATTAATTTGAACGTACCGGCCTCGATGCCGAACCCCTTCTAGAATCCTAATTTTCGTTGGTGCGAGTGGTAAAAACTGAAATATCTCGTTTAATATATTATTACGGACTGGGATGAACCGTGGTTGTGCGTCGCGCGCGCGAGCCATTGTTAATTATGAAACCGGGGGTCCTAGGGGCGTTCGAACGTTGTTTTTGGATCAGAGGAAAAACAACTGGGCTGAGGTTTGTTTCCGGAAATTTCAGGGCTATGATTAATTACGTGGTCGGATATAGTCGGAACGTGTTCACCTGGGCTTTATGTCCATTTACTATGCTTGTTCTCCGATACCGAACACATACACAATGAATACGCTGCACGTACAGCCCTTTATTTGTGTACGCTCGGGGTTTAGGACCATCATCATCATCATCACCGTCATCATCGTCATCATCAATACTCCTAATGCCGCTAGTCGACTGGTCGTCTCCCTGTCTACTCCCAACGACCCCCGGACTGTTGACTTACGATGGGTCTGTGTCGCACGGTTAACGATAACTTATCATTATTTCCGTTTAAACGTCACTTTCAGCCCCAAATTCTACCTTCTAATTACGTACACATATTTAGCCGTCCAGATAAAGACTGCGTCTAAAACGCCATGGATCATACGGCATAATTAAAATTTTAACGACAAAGTGACTAGTTACATAATATATATATACGTATAACTAAATTATATCTAGCGAGTCGTATAATGCCACCCCGAAACCATCAGTTGTCGCATTACTGCTGCGACGTTTCATAATGATTATTACAGTTACGTTTTTACTAAACACATGGCGTGCTACTCTACTACAAAGTGATAAGATTATGAAGTAATAATAAAAAAAAATAATAATAACAATTTTACACCATTCACGAATAGCAGAATAATTGGTACGAATGAAATATTCACAATTGGTATTTTCTTATTTTGACCATAACTATTGTACGCTCGTAAATATTCCCAACGGACAAAACGAATATTTATATTATTTTTTTTTCTTGTGTAATTTAATTCGGCCGTACTTAAAAATACCTCCTGAGTACTATGCCTTTTATTTATGTAATGGAAAATAATATTTCTATATAAGATTACGAGCATAAAAAAAAACACATTGTAAAAATGTCAAGTTAGTTGGAACTATAATAAATAGTTAATAAAAATTCATAAAAATTTACTTTTAAAATAATTATTAATTTTATTCGCAAACATATACTGTTCATTAGTCCCTTTTCACTTTAAATAATCAAGCGGTTGTTTAGAAAACTGGCAAAAAGTATTCAACAAATTGTATGAAAATACGTTAATAATTAAAGTTAGTATATACTATATAGTTAATAATTTGAATTCGCCGACTGTGTAGTTTGATAAATCAAATATTTAGAAAATGAAAATTAAACTTTTTTGCAAATATAAAGATTTTCTTTTCAGCCAAAATATTATTGAACCTTATTTGTTCAAACTTTAGACCAAATACATATTAGTGAGTTTTTATACTACCGTTATTTGATGAAATTATTATTTTAATATGGTATGGAAATCTTTCAACAGTTTTATAATTATATGTTTACACATTTAAATTCTAACATTAAGAAATATATTTTGTTGGTAATAAATACCTATATACTAAAAAATAAAACTATTATTTAGGTATCATTATGGACTTATGATGTGTAAATTTTTTTTTTTATATTCAACTTATTTTGGTGCATTGTTTAAGAATGCATATATTTATCGATTGATTATCGACCATCGAACAATGGGTACATACATATATTTTGTTTAGATGGAATGTAAATAGTTGTAGGTCATAAAAATATCATAACTATTGCCATAACTTACCGTTCGATTTCCAAGATTTCTCACTCTGCAGTTCAAATAAGCTGTATGACCTACTAGTGCCGTGACATTTTTTGATGCCGTTTTGTCAAAATAAGGACCTCTTATAGACGTGGCTTCAATCAGAGGCGAAATCGTTTCATCTGGTACTTTGTGGTCAATGGAGCCTGACACCATTTCTAAAAATAAAACAACATGATATTAGTTATATGGTTATAATTATCGGATTAAAGATCCGAAATTATTTCGTTTGCTCTTAAAATAAAAAAAATCGTTTATTTTATAATTTAATTTTACGACGCTGCTTTGTTCAAGAAAATAATAAAACAATATTATATTTTTTTAATGCATTTTTTTAGAACATTACTAATAGTTAAAACTAAAACATTGTATTTCACTATTCATTTTTTATAAAATTTAACCATTTTAACTTAAAAAAACGTACATCCAAACCATTATTCATTACTATTGTACTCAGAAATTAAATAATTTAATAAGTGTTATCGATTTTATGAAGTTTATATATTACAATTTAAAATGATCAGTTTATAATTTTATATTTAATTAAACGTTTTGTAAGCTGCTAAGACTTTCAGTAAGACTTTTATAAATCTAAAATATTTCTTCTATCAAAAATCATCCATTCCATTTATAGAATTGTTATATAATAACTATAAATAATGGAATACTGTCAAATAACATGAAAATCAAAACATTTATAACTAAAAACAAACATAATTCGTAGAACAATAAAATTGTAACGGTAATCTGTGGCCAAAAATCTTTAAGAAAAATAAAAGTAATATACATTTTTCCGTTTAATCACGGTTTCAACAAATTTGTATTAAAAAAAAAAATCTTCAAAGGACTTAATTCTTCCGGTTAGATAATGTAATTTGGGGAATAACCGAATTGGTTCCCGTTTGTGTACAGGTAAAATAAGGATAATTTTAATTTTTAAAATAATTTACTTACAATATTAAAAATTAAAATCTAACGGGCCAGTGCATAAAGAGCAAAAAACAAAATTTTAAAAACTATATTTATGAAATAATAATAGTCACAATTATTATATCTATAAGATAGAGTCTAGAACTATAGATTACTAGAGACTAGCAAATTACAAGCAAATAGGAAAGAAATAACAAATACTTGGAAAATTGTATGACAGATACATTAATGAGAAAATTACGAGAATTAAATATTTAAAGAAAGTTAGCTTCAAATTTGCAAATCAGTGGTTTTAAATTGTATTTATTATATTTTATTATTTGTATTTCGTATACCTAAGTGATGACTAGTTGACTTCCAAATCAACGATTTAAAATTGTATATATTTTATCATTTTTTTTTTTTAACACACATTAACGCACATAATTAATCAAACCTACTTTTAAGTTGACAGTCTTAAGCCTATAAAATTAAGAAGGAAAATGTGCGTCATTAAACGGGAACCAATTTGGCTATACCTAATATTAACCTTTTTCAAACAGGAACCAATTTGGCTATACCTAATAAAATACCTTTTTCAAACGGGAACCAATTCGGCTATACCTAATAAAATAAATTTTTCAGGCAGGAACCAATTCGGTGCGTGGGTTTGGAGCTCGGGAACCAATTCGGTACCAGCCGTAATTTGTTTTTTATTTTCATAAAAGTAAGACCATTTCTGAGTATTTCCGTCTGATTCCTGACTTTAAAATAGTCCATCGCAAAGTATACATTATACAGATATAAGGCACTTCCAACAAGGTGTGTCTAGTCAATCTTTATCCCCATCAAAAAAAACTAACAGTGAAAAAAGACCAAGTTCCAAACTCCTTCCCAAAAAAGTCAGCCCATCAAAGTAATTAAATCTATATTGTGGTCAAGTATTTTTTAATTCATAATCTCAATGCACTTCTATATTAAAGAGCAACACTCTTCTTATATTTGTATTGTTTAACACTTGTCCAGTTTCTGAATGAGGCATAAACTAGACTTGGCCTTAATGTAGATACCACTACCTACTATAATTCACTGTCTTTTTTGAGAAGAAATCTAAACCTTTTTCTTTTTTCTGAGTTCTCCTGAGTTCTCTTTTCCCCATCACCCACGTAAGTCATAAATGAGTACATTTGATAATGATGTTTTATGTTTCATTCAGAAACTGGCCAAGTATTAAAAAAATATAAATAAAAGAGGAGTGTTACTCTTTAATATAGGAGTGCAGTGTGGTTATGAATTAAAAAATACTAGACTTGGCCACAATGTAGATTTCAATACTTTGATGGGCCAACTTTTTTGGGAGGGAGTTTGGAACTTGGCCTTTTTTCACTGTTAGTTTTTTTTGGGGGATATCATTTATTTTTGAGGGATTCAACATCGTGGATAACGTGTTATTATTATTATTTTTTTTTATATGTCGAAGATTTTCTTTTGTAAGATCTTTTGGGTTTCTGTTGAAATTGGAACTGAAATTGAACTCTTGAGCGTTGTCAATAACAGGCAATGATAGCCATGTAAGGTCTTTTATTATTCATCGTCGATACTTTTCAGATAGAATGTCAGTTAAGTCTGGCCTATACAAAGTTGATAGACGGTTATATTTAACAATGGCACTATCCTTGGATTTCACCTAACAGGGATCAAAATTAATTAAGTGAACTCCCTGGAGGCTTGTCACCCTGGAAAGGTCCACGTATGCTTGACCACATGAGAATGTTGAGTTGCCAACATCTAACAAAGCATTTGGCAAATTAGTCTCTGACTCTTATAGATGGTAATGTCATAAGCTAATCAAATGGGGAATTGATGTCGATGCACATAAGCTCGGCTGATGATTTCGAACTTAAATACAAATTAAGCGTAAAAAAAAAAAAAAAAAATTTAAAAATATCGTCCGTATACCGACGAATAATAAAAAAATATTCTGTATTTGAATAATTATTTTATATTTTGTATTTGAATAAAATAAATTTACGAAAAAATTATTATGTTTTATAAATATAAATATATATATAATTCAACTACAAACAATTGCTTATTACTATATTGTAACGCTGTTTGAATGAAAACGTTTATGCGTGCTTAGTACGCCACTTCATACTTTAGAAATACATTCTCTAAAGCGGTATTAATTTTGAAAAAATTCAATTTTTAGATTTTTTCCTTTAGTTACACTGTTAAACCTACCTTTATGCCGAATTGTACGTTTCTACCTATACGGAAAGTATCTTATAATTTTTATGATCAGTGAGTAACAAAATTGCAAATTTTAAAATCCTTCCATTTTGAAATGGTAAAATATTAAGGACTCATTTTCTTACAGTGTCCTAAGATACTCGATATTAATATGTGCTTTAAATTTCAAAAGTTTATCTTAAAATAAAACAGAGATATATGGGTTGGAATAACCGGGAAAATTGGTTCTTGTAAAGATACACAGGCATTGCTGGGACATGGTCGGCGCACTACCGTGCGCTCAGATTATAGGTATTTTCGATGCAATCGAAGTTTATAATTCAATATAACTTAGTTATATCTTTTAAAATGATTCGAATAATAATCAAGACTTTTTATTGTTATATGACATAAAAAATATGCGATGGAAAATGTTACGATAAATTTCTAAAGGATGTGTTTACAAAAAAATATTATCAATCGAGAATAAGCTATACCATTTTCATATTATCATCGTTTACGGATACCATATTCATTTTTTTGAATACAATGCTGTCTATTAAAAAAAAAAAAAAACGAATATTTATTTTCGTTGTACAGCATGCTTATGGTGTACATTGAGTTTAAAAAAAAAAAAGAAAAAACTTGGTTGTTTACAGCATTTGGACTGCAGAATGTACGGTAGCTCGATTTTATTTTTCAATAATATAAGAGCACCCGTGAATAGTATGAAAAAATGTTATTAGCAATAATATTTCAACAATCAGCTATGTAGGTACTTACAAAATTTACAAAATTAAAATGCTAATATTTTATTTTATTTTTTAATTCTAGAGATAAAAAAGTAATTCATTAATTACATGTTAAATGGGAAGTTATATTGCAATTTAGTTTGTTTGTTGTCCTATTACTATACATATCTGATGTGCTTTTTGCAAGAAAGTAATTTTTATTACACATGTACTCGTCGCTGTTATCAGAATCACGCTAACGATTTGAATCTAGTTAGATTGGAAAACACATTTATATTTACAGTAGTTTAATTTAAAACTGTAAATACTATTGTGTATTGTTTAAACTAATTATTCATGCACCACCGTAAAACTTTAAAAGAAAAAAATGGTATACTAAATAAAACTATTTGTGTTATTGTAAATAATTCTATGAGGTATTGAAAATGCTATACGCCACAAATGATTGTATCTTGTTATATGAACCATAATGGTTCAAGGAATCATCACCAACAGTAACTTATGACTTGTTTGACAGTCAGTGAAATTAAAAGAGTTCAGAACACTGTTTATTACTTATTCTTATAATGATTTCATAGCATATTAGTTATGAATATTGAGATGCAAACAATAAACTTTATGCTTGAATTGTTTAGTTTTAAAGGTTTTTTTCTAATTTAGTTAATCTGAAATAAATAAACGATGATGAAATAAATGCGTTTTATTGACAATATACTGTCTAGTAGAATAGAACATCATTTATAAAATTTCAAATGTATGGGATTATAATGAAAAATTATATATTATTCCCAAAATAATAATGTGGAAAATACTATAGATATTGATTTTGCTGTTGGATCAGCATTAATCAATAGTTTATTTATTTTAATATCGATGTAATGAAAACCATGTAACGCTCGCAGTTAAAAAATTATTCACACAAAGATGCATAGTATTAAGCGCTTAAATATAAAGGGGCCAGAGTTAATGTCGTTATGGAGAAGAATGTAAAATAATAATGGTTAATATTATTTATCTCGACTTTGTATTCGTAGTTTCTAGTTAGGTCACCACAAGTTTAAATCGTCGGTGAAATTGGCTCACAAAATTTTCTTTTGTCCGTAGTCCTCTGTAAGAAAAATTTTCGGTTACCACTGAAAGGCTTACCGTATTGCTATACAGTGCAAAATTAATTTCAAACGACGCTTTCGACCGGCATACGTGCGTGGGACGCAATTGTCATCAATAGTACGCATATAATATATACGCCAACTATGGTCGCGGAT